TTTGACATCAGGATAATGCTTACAATAGAGGTGCAGAGCAAACTGTTGTGGCCCGAGGTGAAGTAACCACTTCCAACTAAATTAAAAATAATAAAAAAGGGGGGAAAAAATAAAAACCATGACAGAATTGCTTAGCCGGGACACTAAAATGTTACATGAAGAGCACAATGAAGACGTCACACTTTACGCCGGACTGTATGTGTTCATACAGATGCTGGCAGTTCTGTTAGTGCAATATACTTGTATTGTATGAATGTTAAGGTCTATGTGTAAACATTTGGTATGGATATTTAGGCTAAATTCAAGCTTATACTTTATTTGACTTACTGTGCGGCCCAGCTAATGGCTTTTAAAATAGCTTTTCTGTTAGAAGCTTTCCATTTCAGATGAGAATTTCCCAGTTGGTACTGTGTAACTTGCTACACCTTGGGCCTAACAGCTTAGATTTAAAAATGTACGGTGCCAAAAATGTTACTACTTTATACCTAATGCTGCGCTAGGTGTGCTTGTAGGTTTGTTTTTCTTGGTCTTAACAGGTTGAACAAATAACCCGATCTCTGACGCTAACAGTTATTCAGATCGAGCCTATAAAACTGGTCATATTCCTGTCCAAAACTTGGTGGCCAGATGCTGTTTTGTGTATGAAGAAAAGAACGTGCAAAGTGGTGTCACAGAACGTCTAAGTTCCTTGGAGAAATTTCTCTTAGATATCATAAACTGGACTGTGGGGGATCCAAGAAATTGGAGCTGGTGACTGAAATACATTAAAGAGACTTTCTTTAGTGCTTTCATGAATTCAGAGCTAGCTGCGGGCTAAGGAAAAGCTAATCAGCATCTGCAAGATGAGAGACATGGCAAAATCTTTCAAAGTGCTTAAGTAACTTGCAGAAGTGATTCAGACTTTAAGGAGCCCAAATCTAAATTTAAGTTGTTTGGGCTGAGGCTCCTAAATCACTAAGGTGCTTTAAAAATGTAGATCAAGATATCTCTTATTTACCAAGAATAGACACTTTTTAATCTGCCTCAAAACATGCATCAATTTTAAAATAACGGTTTTGTTTACATGTTTCTTGAAAAATTCTAACTTTCTGGGATTTATATAACTAACTTGACAGTAACAAATGCAAAACACTCCAAGAAAAATAAAGGATTTTTAATATTTTTTTTTAATTGTGTATGAGATTGCAGACGATTTGACTGGTCCTGTGTGTGTTGGGAGGAGAGGCTTTTCGCTGTGCGAACCCCGTGGGCAGCTCGACTTCTTGATGCCCGGGTCAGCGGGCAGAGCTGAGCGGTGCTCGTGCCCTGCAGCAGGGAGCCGCGGCAGGTTGTGCCCGACGCCGGCCGTCCCTCAGCTCCGGCTTCCTGCCGAGCAGCCTCCGTGCGGACGGGCGGCCGCAGCGTCTCCCTGCGCCGCAGCACAGCCGGGGGTGCCGCAGCGCGTGTCGCGGGCATCGCCCGTGGAAAAGGGCCCTGACGTTGTCATACCAGTGCGTTTAGTCGCTGTATGTGTGTGTGTAAATAGGGTTGAGTCCCACCTGCTCTAGCAATTTGAGAAGCAAAGTATTGAGGATTTGGTGACCAAGAGACTTAAAACTCTACATAATAGGATCATCTTACTGCCTACGTTACTGCTACAGATGTTTGCAACGTGGAAGCTCTTCCCTTTCACTGTCTGCTTGCCAGTTTTCTGTTCATTTGTTTTTAAGCAAACAGAACCACCAAGTGTTTGAAACATCTTTTTTTTGTTGTTTATTTAATTTTGTACAGAGTCCTGACAAGTAAGTCACTTGAGCTTACGATGAACAGTTGTACTGTTACATATTATGCTTTAGACATTGTACTATTACATATAGTAGCCATTCGTATTTGGGGTCTGTCATTATAAACCACTGTTTTAAGAACTGAAAACTGTATAGAAATGTTCATAGATGGAGACCTGAGAGACTACTTAAGGTTTAGGAGATGTAATTTAGTACTTACTGGCTTTAACCTAAAGATGTATTTGCAGCACCGGGTACCAGTCACTTAATTCTCACTGTCTTAATTCTGGAGTGGCTTTTGCTTTGTCCTGCGCAGAGCTCAGTCTGCGCTGTGTGACAGAGCTGCAAGCTCCCAAGGTAGCATTTGTCAGGAGGCCTCTTGCATGCACATTGCTTAAAGTGTGTGTTGTTTCCTCCTGGCTGCAGCGTGTGGGTGTGAAGCGAGTGAAGTTCTCTGCGTGTTGTGGGCTTCTTGGGTATTCACATCCCTGCCCAGTGGGAGGTTGTCTTGACTTTCGGATGAGAAAGGCCTAAACTTTAGCCCTTGGGTAGTCCAAGTCCCTCACGAGTGATTTTTATCGTGAACATTGCCCCATTTCCCACTCAGTGCTCGTTAGCGTGTCCTCAGTTTACGTAACCGGAGCTGCTCGTCAAGGTGCCCTCCTTGAGGAGGTGTCTGGCTGGCGCTCTTGGCTTTTGGCCGGTCCTGCAGGTGGAAAAGGTCAGTGGTGGTAAAAGGCTCGGG